AAAATAAAAAATTAAAAAAATGAAACAAAACAACTTTCCTTATCTTTTGATATCAGTGATCTTATACCATAATTGCCCTTTTTATTATTAAATTTTATTAGTTTTAATGAACATTTACAGGGATTTTGGGTTTTCATTCCTTCATTGCTGCACCATTCTCTCTACCCTCCTCCCCAGTTTGTTTTTCTTCCCCTGCCATCCGAATGTCTGTCATAATTGCCTTTTTGTGACTTATGTATGTCATAATTTTTTCTTGATTCATCCATGTTGTACAGTATTTAATACAATTTTTATAATGTTGTTGTATACCAGTGAATCAGATGTGACCCATAGCTGATCCTCCAGTGTGTCCTCCAAGGCAGTCAATCACACAGGAAGAGATTCCCCATCCTTCTCCCATGGAGCAGCTAGTGGATTTGAACCATGTGTCTTTAGGATTGCAGTCAGTGTCTTAACATTAGGTCACCAGAGCTTCTGAAAGACATTGTTGTTGTATAACATCCAGTCAGAACCGACTCGTAGCTGACCCTCCAGCAGGTTATCAGAGGCAGTTTATCACCTCGGAGGAGACTGCCCTTCTTTCTCTTGTGGAGCAGCTGGTGGATTTGAAGCGCTTGCCTTCAGGATTGAAGCACAGTTCTTTACCACTAGGCCACCAGAGCTCCCTCCTGATAGGTATTAGTGATGTATAATACTTCGTTGTGTGAACATACCATGGTTTCTTTATCTGTTTGCAGAAGAAACATCTTAGTCTCTCCTGACTCTCCTTGAACACGGGAAAGAAAGATTTTGGTAGTAATCAGAATATGGGGCTAATTTTCTGCCAGTCTTGTTACTTGTGTGGCTTGTTCAGGAAGTGTGAGATAAATGCTCAAAGTTTGTGACTGATTTTCAGAAAGGAAGAAAGCGGTTTATTTTGGTAGCTGAGAAAGGCCATGCTTAAATGATTGAAAAACTAATCTCCCTTAATTTGCACACTTCAGAAAAGGACAAGGTGAGTTGAATTTTTATTTCTTTGATGAGAACTAGAGAAATAGGAGTCACAGTCATTGCAGGGAGTAGTAATTGGTTTATCAATTTGGTTATAACATTTCAGTGAACAATAAAACTGTTCCAGCTGCTAGAAAAACTCATGGGATATCTAGGTGAAATGAATCCACGTTTACAATAGATTGTCCAGATTGGCATATTTCTCCATATGTATTTGTTAAGTTAGTAAGTTACATGCATTTCTCCTGTAACGAATCCAGCCCTCTCCAGGCCTTTTCTGAGCACCACTGGAGACTCAGCCCCACTGATGAGAAGACACAATGTGGGATGCATGTTGTTGCTGTTGATTGCCTTCAAATTGAGCATGACTCATAGAGACCCTATGAACAAAAGGCCTGAAGCCCCTCTGCAGCTATTGGAGTTTATCAAAGTTACTAGAGTTTCTGGAAGCATGCTTTTCAGAAAGTGGATGCCACTCCTGCTTCCAAGGAATACATGTATTTATGTGAAAATCAGTGATGCTTAGAATTAATTCCTGAAGCGGAATTTCAGGTCAAAAGATTTTACACATGCTAGTGTGTTTTGATATGCAATGTCAAAACTATTTCCCAGACATTTTTCATCAATTTTCCCTCTGATAGGTTAAATGGAATCACTTTTATTGTCCCTTTTTGGGGGAGATGGAGGTAGAAAGAAAATGGGTAGCGGAGACAGAACAAGAGGTATAGACTAATTCTAATGTACCAGTTCAAAAGATTCTCTGTCTTTTCATTTTAAATCTTTGTAAATTCCATTTAAATGGTGGATAATATAACCCATGTTCAGGATCCCAGCTTTCAGCAAATGAAAGTTTTGAGATGCCCCCTTACTGCCCTGACTGGTGGAGGGATACGGCCCTTGGTATAAGATCTTACTTCAGGAGTGTCTCTGTTGCAGGAAGGCAACACTGCCCTACATCACACTGCGAAATATGACCATGCTCCTGCAGTGCAAGTGCTGCTAACTCAGTGGCAAGAAATAAATGAGACCAATGAGGTATGTGGAAGTGCTGATTACAGGTGGACACGGGACTAAAAATGTGAAGGGTCTGAAGGGTGACTTTCAGGAAAGGAATGGGAGGAAGACAAAAATGTGATGTTAGGGAATTCCTGGGTGGGTGGGTGCCCTCCCCCTTATAGTATTTCATGGCAATACTTTCTAATCCTTTCATATATTCACCCATTCATTAAATATTTAGTGTGAGATTCAAAAGCCCCCAAAAATTTGAAAGGAAACTCTGGTGATGTAGTCTGTAAAGAGTTGGTGGCACTTCTCTGGCAGTTTGAATTCACTCGCTACTCTGAGGGAGAAAGACTGGCATTCTCCTCTTGTGCAATTTACAGCTTCTGAAAACCTGCTGGAGGGCCAGCTATGAGTAGGTTCAGAGTCCATGGCAATGAATTATACCAGGTAGAATATTCTGATTCTAAAACTCTTCATAAAAAAAAAAATAACATATTGAGCTCGATGAAATTACACACACACACACACACACACACACACACACACACACACACAATTAGGGGTCCTGGTGCCACTGTGAATAATGTGTCAGGCAGCATGCTACCTGGAAGGTTGGTGGTTCCAATCCGCCAGGCGCTCTGTGGGGGAAAGATGGACAATCTTCTCCTCTGAAGATGTATAGCCTTCACAACCAAACCCAATCCATCACTATCAAGTCAATTCCAGCTCATCACCACCCTCCATCTGGTTGTGAAGGCTATAAATTGAATTGGTGCCAGGAGATACTGTAGGTAGGGAGTCAAGAGACTGGAGATTGAGCCGGCCTCTTCCAGAAGCCCTTCTAGCAAGGAAATGACAGAAGGCAGCATCTGCAGGACTTCTGACCTGGATTAAAGAACAGGAGGAGGATGTTCTTACCTCCAACTTCCTGGCCATGACTACCTGAGAGAGGTGCTTGTCCGCGAGCTGTGGAACGCAAAGGAGGAGAATATATCTAGGAGTTGTTGTTGTTATGTGCTGTCTAGTCACTTGCGATTCATAGCGACCCTATGTACAAGAGCCCTAAACTCTGCTCTGTCCTGTGCCAATTGCACTGTTTCTGACATTCCCATCCTGATTACCCCAGTCACTAAACCAATCCACCTCATAGAGGGCCTTCCCCTCCTGCGCTCTCCCTCCATCCTCCCAAGCATGATGTCCTTCTCCAAGGACCGGTCTTTCCTTACAACATGTCCAAAATATATTAGAAGGAGCCTCAGAATCCTTGCCTCCAAGGAGTCGCCCGGTTTAACCCTTTCCAGGACGAATCTGTTTGTTTTCCTAGCAGTCCATGGTATTCTCAATACTCTTCTCCAGCACCACAGCTCAAAGGCAGCAATTCTCCTTCTATCCTCCTTAGTCATTGTCCAACTCTCTGATGCATAACAAGTGATTGCAAAGACCATGGCCTGTATCAGAAGCACTTTAGTCTCCAGAGAGACTCTTCAGTACTTTGGAGAGGTCCCTAACAGCAGACTTTCCCATGGCAATGTGCCTTTTAATTTCCTGGCTACTGGTGCCAAGAGTGTTGACTGTGGAGCCAAGCAAACTAAACCTGTGGAACATTCTCAGTCTCTTCACCATCCATCCTGATGCTGCCAATTGGCCCAGTGGTAAGAATCTTTGTCTTCTTGACATTGAGCCTCAATTCATATTGGAGGCTGCAGTCCTTGACCCTCTGCAGCAAGCGCTTCAGGTCTTCCTCAGTTTCAGCAAGCAGGGTTGTGTCATCAGCACAACGCAGATTGTTGGTAGATCTTCCACCAATCTTGACTCCACATTTCTCCTCATAGAGCCCAGCCTCCTGGATAATCTGTTCTACATACAGGTTGAAAAGGTATGGAGATAGGACGCATCCCTGGCGTACGCCCTTCCCAATTTTGAACCATGCAGTGTTCCCTTGCTCTGTTCTGACGACTGCCTCTTGGTCCAAGTATAGGTTTCACATTAGAATGATCAAGTGTTCTGTTGTTATTCCCATTCTTCTCATAGTCAGCCACAGTTTGTTATGATCCACACAGTCAAATGTCTTTGGATAGTCAATGAAATCACAGATATACGTTCCTCTGGTATTCCCTGCGTTCAGCTAAGATCCATCTAACATCATCTGCAATATCCCTAGTACCACGACCCCTTTTAAACCCAGCCTGGACTTCTGGCAGTTCTCTGCTGATGTGCTGTTCCAGTCATTTTTGGATAATCTTCAGTAGACTCTTGCTTGCATGTGAAATCAGTGAGATTGTTCTGTAGTTTCCACACTCTGTTGGGTAACCTTTCTTTGGGATGGGAACAAATATAGATATCTTCCAGTCAGTTGGCCAAGTGGTTGTTCTCCAGATTTCTTGGCACAACTTGATGAGCAAATCCAGGGCAGCATCTGTTAGCTGAAATATGTCAATTGGTATACCATCTATTCCTGGGGCCTTATTTTTTGCCATTTCCTCCAAAGCAGCCTGAACTTCTTCTTTCATCACCATAGGCTCTTGCTCGTATGTTGTTTCATGAAATTCTTCTGTCTGCCAATTCTTTTCGATACAGCGACTCAGTATATTCTTTTCATCTTCTTTTAATACTTCCTGGATCATTTCACATTCTGCCGAAAGCATCCTTGATTATAGCAACTTGAGGTTTGAATTTGTTCTTCAGTTCCTTGAGCTTAAGAAATGCTAAGCGAGTTCGGCCCTTTTGATTTTCTGACTCCAACTCCTTGCACATTTCATTGTAATATGATGTTTTGTCATCCCATGTTGCCTTTTGAAATCTTCTATTCAACTCTTTAGTATCTTGAATTCTTCCTTGTGCTTCGGCTTCTCTGCCCTCCAGTGCAATTTTCAGAGTCTCTTCTGACATCCATTTTGGTCTTCTCTTCCTCTTCTGTCTTTGCAATGACCGTTTGCACTGTTTGGATGGGTTCACTTTGGGGCACCTGGCTGTTGAGTGCACTCAGGCTGACAGTGAGAGAGAGTGAGCGCTCTTACTAACTCCAGATGGTCACTTGTTAACCTTTAGGTCAATCAACTTCTGACTGACTCTTCTTTTGAATTCTCCTGCTCTGTCCATACTGCTTCCTCTTGGCCTACGTATAGGTTTTGTATGTGTACAATCAGGTGTTCTCGAATTTCCATTTTTTGCAATATTATTCGTAATTTATTATTATCCACACCGATGTCTTTGCACAGCCAAGAAAATACAAACTTCTTTTTAGTTTTCTCTGCTCTCAGCAAAAATGCCTCTGATATCAGCAACGGTATCTTTATTCAGAACCAACTTGAATTTCTGTCCCTGTTTGATGTTGGTGTGTTGCTGCAAGTGCTTTTGAATTGTCTCCATAAAATTTTGTTTGCGTATAATACTAATGATGGTGTTTGATAATTTCCACACTCTGTTGCATCATCTTTCTCTGGAATGGACATGAATAAGAATCTCTTCCAGGCAGTTGCCCAGGTAGCTGTCTTCCAAATTTCTTGTCATTGATGAATGAACACCTCCAGCCTGGCATCCTATATTTTTTTGCAATAGGTATAAAAATTAAGACAGTTAGGAAATTTTCAGAAAATAATCTGTTTAAACATTCCTCAACTTCACTTTCAGGAGCTGGTTCTCTTGCTCAGTTCTGGAGATGTTTGCTTTTCTAGATAAATATTTCTGCTGTGTCTTCAAAGCAGTGCCTGAGTAGTGTTCTTTAAAGTTCACCACCATATGGTGAACTTGAAATATTGGATGATCAAGTTCACCAAGAGATATTGTAGAAGAAAAATCTGATCTTCTGCTTTAAAAAATAATAATCAGCCATTGATTACCCTATGGAGCAGTTCTACTCTGAAACATATGGGTTTGCTTTGAATTGGACTCAACTTGACAGACAGCTGGTTTTGGTGCCTTCAAAGGTAGTACAGTGTTTCATAAAATGGTATTTATCGTAATTTTTATTATTTTTCTTTCAGGATACCAAGGCCCACTCTGAAAGTTTACATGCACACAAAGGCATTGACAACTCTATTATACCTGACACCTGATTAACCAAGGTTGTATAAGATATCCTGATCTTGAAGTCTCACCAAGCCAAATTTCCTTTTAAGACACACTCTAGCTCTGACTGTACTTCCTGCAATTCATATTTGCCCATTTATCAATTTAAATTCATCATTTCTTCTTGGGACTTCTTTTTGTCACTGTCTAGCTTTAAAATGCATATGTGAAACTGAAATTTTACATGCTTTTGAGGCGATGAGGAAACATCATGGTTTGTCTCAGGTGTACCTTCGTCACCAAAGTGACATATTGCTTGTTGGGATGTTTTCCCCACTAGATTTGTCCAATGAAATACATCATTTTCTTTCTTGACTGTGGGTTTCATGAGCATTGACTTTTTAAAGCAATCTTGCCCCCCCTTAGCTCAGCAGTGTTTATTTTCATGATGATTGTTTTAAATATTTTTACTTTGATATTTCTTTCTAGAATTCCTAGTAAATTTCTTTTGTTTACATTATTTTTTATTGGTTTGCTTACAAAGTTTATATACATTACAGTGTTGATTATTTTATCCAGGGATAACATTCTAGGCAATTTCTGTTTCTTCATAATTTATCATGATATAGTTTATTGGTTCATTGGTAAGGATTTTTGGTTTTGAGGTGTAACTCTTATTGAAGGCTTGAATTTTCTTAAGTAAGCTTCAAATAATTTTCATCAAGAATTGTTGTATCATCTGCATAACACAGATTATTCGTATCTTTTTCCATATCACCAACTGTCATCTCTTCATATAATCCAACTTCTTGAGTGATTTGCTTGGCATGCAGATTGAATAGATACTACGAACATATATGACTATGCATCGTGCTTTTTTCTACCCAAATTGAAAATCAAAGCACAACAAAAACCCCATTGTTATCAAGTCATTTTCGACTCATGGCCATCTCTCTCTTGTGTTTCTAAGGCAGTAAATCTTAATAAAGTAGGCCACCCTCCATGGAGTAGCTGGTGAATTCAGA